CCAATAGCAAATACACGGGACTGTACCTTGGTAATTTGATTCAGACACTAAGTACATGTGCTGTGAGGGATGTTTATCTCTTAATAGCTTTTTAAGGTGTTTGCCTCCTAAGACTGTTAAGGAAGAAAGTGGAATTCTTTTTTTTTTTAACCTCATTTTATGCTACTAATAATGTCAGTCAGATCTTTTATAATTTTATAGAACATTGATGCATTTTCATATATATATTCATGTACAGACTTGATCTCTCTCTATCCATCTCTATTAATGCAGTCCAGTCCACATGTGTTTACTTAGTGTAAACAGACTTTGCGTTGAGTCAGAGAATGTGAGATGGCGTGTGTGTTTTAAAAAATTAGTGAATAGCAGGATCAGCAGATGGCATAATGGTTATGTTGCTGGACTCCCATGTAGTCGACTGCAGTTCTAATCCCAAACCCAGCAGCTTAAAATTAAGACCTGGTTCATGTACGTTTGTGCCTAATATCCCGAGAGGAGAATGGAAGAGAAGGGATTGTGGCGTGGCCATCCCCCTGGCGGCGGCGGGGGGGGGGGGGTTGATTTCTCACTTTCTCTCTCTCTGTCTCTCCAGTGAGCACACACCTCCTATAGCAAAAATCTCTTTCTCTAAAAAACAGAAAATAGTAAATAGCTATACTTTTATTAAAACTACTTTTTCTGGGATAGGGTTCACGAAGCAGTTGAGGATTGGAATAAGAAGCAACATGATTGTAAAGGGGGTGCTGTAGTGAGAAGATGGGGGCCAAAGTCATGAGAATTGCTCCTGCTGATGTTGCTAATCAAGCCAGGGGACTAGATGGCCAGGCCAAGATGGAGACTCTCCTACACTGTCTCTGGCTCCCTTGCCTGCACCCGGGCTCTGCTAGGACTGTGGACTGGGACAGTGGTCGCCATTGGCCTGGCTGCTCCCAGGTGACTTAGCACTTTCCTGTTCTCTCTCTTCCAACCACCCATGGGCTCCAGGAGCCAAGCCATGTGGTATATAGGTGAGTTTATCCATAGGTGCACACCTTCATCCCAGCACACACGTTTACCAGAAATACAGCAACCACTGTTGGTTGAATATCATCAACAGTCATCCAGGAGCCAAGCCATGTGGTATATAGGTGAGTTTATCCATAGGTGCACACCTTCATCCCAGCACACACATGTTTACCAGAAATACAGCAACCACTGTTGGCTGAATATCATCAACAGCCAAAGAAGTCTGATGAATGTGAAATTTTCAAAATTGTGGTACGAATATTTAACATAAGTCTACCCTCCCTACGAATTTTTTTTTTTTACATTTTTTTTTTTTGGAGAGGTTTTTGCTATAGGGCATGTGCACTCGCCAGACAGACAGAGAGAGACAGAGAGATAGAAAGCGAGAAATCACCCCCCAGGGGGAATGGCCACGCCACAATCCCTTCTACTCCATTCTCTTCTTGGGATCTTGGGCACGCACGCACATGTACCCGGCGTGAGTTTAAGCCACAGGGTCCGGGACTCAAACCGCGGTCAACTACGTGGGAGTCCAGCGACATAGCCATTACGCTAACTGCTGGTCCCCCTACGAATTTTTAAGTGCACAATGCAGTACATACCATGGGCTTGGTGTGCTCTCTAGAGTTTACTCATAATTGAAACTTTATACTCATTGAATAGCAACTCCCATTTCACTCCCCTCCAGTCCCTGGCAACCACCATTCTACCGTCTTCTCGTTTGATTCTGTACCTAAGTGAAGGCATGCATTATTTATCCTCTTGGGACTGGCTTATTTCACGTAGCATAGTGTCCTCAAGGTTCAATCATGTCGTGGCCGATGACAAGATTTCTTTGTAAAGGCTGAGCCACATTTCATTATCTTGTGTACCATGTTTTCCTTATCTGTTTCTTTGCCAATAGACAGATAGTTCTTATGTCTTCGTTCTTGGTGGGAACAGCACTTCAGTGAATATGGGAGTGCGACTATCTCTGAGATCCTGGGTTCCCAGTTCATGTGGGGGTTCTATTTTTTAATTTTTTGAAGAACCTTCATATTGTTTTCCGTAGTAGCTGTTCCATTTGTAAGTGTCAACTTTTTGGTACCT